CCCATCATGGTACGGAGTGTTTCACCCCCTCCACCCCAGCACTTTAATAGGCATAAAAAAAGTATTTTTTTTCCTCAAGGAATTTTTCACTGGCCAAAGCCAGTGACAGGGCTGCCCCGCGCCTGCTGACACCCTGCATTACCCCGCTCTTGTGAGCGTGGCACCTGCTGCATTCATGCAAAGCACTAGAAATTACTTGCTCCTGAGTAGATGGGAACCTGGTGTCCAGTCCTTTCCTTGTTTCAGAATGTATCTGAGCTTCCGGACGCTCCCGTCTTCCAGGAAAAATGGTCTTTTTTCTCCTCCTCTCCCCAAACACGTTTATTTCTGTTTTGTTTTAGAGCAAGGACCAGCTTGTCTCCTGCGCGAGGCACATGGCTTCCGACGGGCAGGTGGTGGTGAAATTCGGCCGCGTGGTTGCGAAGCACTGCCTGGACAAGAGATGCTCCGCGGAGCTGCTGTGCGCCGCAGAGCAGACCCACACCATCAGCAGCCAGCTCGGCATCGTGGCCAGGTGAGCTGCCGGCGTCAAGGACAACCTCTCCCAAGGCTGGTGGCCCTTTTCTCACAGAGATGTGTGTGGTGGTCTCCAGGGGGGGTCCTTGTCGGGTTGGGGTGTAGCCCTTAGAGTCCAGTTACAGTTCAGAGGGCTCCCTCTTCTCCCCTGGTTTGTCTGCCTCCATGGAAACCTGCTCTGATAGTGCAGGGGACAATCCGGCGTTGGAGTAACCGACCCAGTTCTGGCCTCACAAGGGAGGCACGCTGTCTGATGCTCCTCCAGTAAAATCCTTTAAAATGTCTTTTAAGGGTAAAAGCAGTCACTGCAGAGAGCAAGTCCTCTTCTGAGCTGCTGGTGAGCAACGCGCAGAACCTCATTCAAGCGGTTTTGCAGGTCCTGAGGGCGGCCGAGGCAGCGTGCGTCAAAGTAAGTCACCGCTGATGGCACCAAACAGGTTTGGGAAGGTGCATCCGCGCTGGGAGAGCTCCTGCAGCTCCTACGGGAGGTGGGACCTCTGTCAGCTCCAGCCAGGGGTAAAGATTCTTCCTGCGATGGTTTTATTTTATGCCTTTCTGTCTCGTTTCCAAAGCCTGCACCTTTCCAGGCACTGCATCCGCTCCGTCGCTGCTCCCAGCTCCGGAGCCATCTCTAGCTGGGTCGTTTCCCGTTTCGGTTTTGGACAGGAGAGCAGCAGATTCTCTTTGGAGGCCTTTATTTGGAAATAGTCCACCTCACTCCTAGCCTTTCTGTCGTCTCAAGACGAGCTTTGATCCAAACTCCCAAGAGCTTCCCTTGGCAGCTGCCGACGATGGCTGATTGATCCAACTTGTGATGGAGCAGATTTTAACCAAAAGCACTCAGGAAACAAGCGCAAAACCAACCAGACTCATGGTTGATGCAGTTTTCCACCGCGTGCCCCAGCCTCCCGTGGAATGCTACAACTTCTGCTGAGCTTCAGCACGTCTTTTTGAAAGAGACACAGTTTTTTTTTTAGAATCCTGTTCGATGAACAATCAGCCAAGGAGGTGAAGAAGCTCCTCCTGCGGTGAATTGCCCACACTGTCAAAAACTTACTACATTTGTCCGTTTTTTACTTTGCTGATGTCAGCCTGAAGTAACTAGCCATTCTTTTATCTCGATTGCCTAGGTTACATAGTCCTTGACCACCTGGCTTCTTCTCTTTGGAAATTTCCCTGCTTGTCAGTAAAGTTTTCCCTTTTATCACTCTGTAAGCAGGTTTTTAAGCACTTTTAAGCATTTTAAGCATTTTTAAAGCACTAACAGGTAGAGATGCCACATTGGTCACACACACATGGGTATGCACAGCCTTTTATATGTAATTTAAGATATTTTAAACAAGTTTATGGACAACAATGTATTAAAGCATGCATATGTTTTGTCTAACAGGGTTTGCGACAGCCCCCGCCTGACTCTGAAGAAGAAGAAGAAGAAGTAGCTGCTTTTTGCATGCAGTGGAGAAAAAACCTGCTGTGGCACAGAGCCAAGGAGTCTTTAAACTCAGACAGGGATGAATTGGGGCTCCGCAAGACTCGGGCAAGGGCTGAGCCCACTCTGACAGCTCTGGTGCAAGAACAATCACCTCAGCCCAAGAACACCCCCAAAACCTGTTGAAGGACGTCCAATTCCAGACAGCCACCTCTAAAAACAGGGACTTCTGCAGAAGTTGGGGAAGAGTTTTAAGACCCACTCCAAGGGAAAACTGAGGTTTCCCTGTTCAGTAAAGTAGCATTCACTGCTGTTTGTTACCTGGCACGGGAGTCACTCTGAAACCATTACTCTTGATTCAGTGGCCCCAAGTGAGGCTACATGGGAATTAAATTCCTTATATTTATATACTGCATACCCCTGTCCAGCTGTGAGCCAGCTCTGCCTCTTACGTTGTCGGTCAGGCTTTTTTTTTCCTTTGGCAAACACTGATATAGGGAAGACAGCATGTGATGAGGTATTTTCATTATATTACTTCCAGTAACTGCCAGTTCTTCTGCTCAAGACATGATCAGAAGGACGCAGGAACGCGCTTGCAGCAGCACCAGCTGGAGGGAAGGTCCAGGGGCTTCTGTAAATGACTGAATTGCTCCTCTCCTGCCCAAGAAAGCCTCAGAGCTGGGAGGTCTTTCTCAAACTCTGAACTTTAGCACGCTATCAAGCTTTTTTGCAACCAGCATCTTTTTAGCAACCATCACCTTTTCTTGTAGGGGTAGCAATCCTAAATACTGCACAGCAGGGGCAGGCAGAAGTACATAACCCTGCAGAAGAGCCAGCGCACCAAGTGGGGCTCGTACGCAAAATACAAATTTGGAGGGTAACACGCAAAATACAACAGCTGGAGGAAAGAAGAACTGAATGAGAAGGAAGACCAAGGGACAGGATCACTGACTTTTGAAACGCAAAACGGGAGTGGAATTAAGTATTCTCGACTTCGCAAGGATAAACTGGTTTACTTTGCAATAAGAAGGATTCACGTTAGAGTGGAAAAATTATTCCAACAGGCTACCTAGGGAGACTAGCAATCTCCCTGCGAGTATTTTTCTCATGGGGCAGCCCACACCAGGTGGTGATCTAGCCATGCTCAGTCCTGCAGAGAGCAGGCAGGATCAGAGACAAACATTTGACCCTTTCCCATCTCCAAAGGAAGCTGGAGTGGGGAGCTTTTTGTCTCATCTGCTGCCCCTGACTCAGCAGGTCCTGCAGCCTGCAGAAAAAAAAGACTTTTCTCCCCAAATCCCTCTCAGCCCCAGGACTCTTTTACTCATTCGATGCTGATGATCACCCACCACGCAGCTACAGGCTTCCAGAGTGTCCAGGACCAACGATACCAGCTGCTCCCATCACTGCTCTCCACAGCTTCACAGCCTGGGGCGTCTGAGTTCCCAGTGTCCGAAGGAAACGCCGCTCCGTGCCAGCACGCTGCGCTTGCGGAAGAGACGGAACCGAACCTCTCCTGCGAAAGGCAAAACGAACCCACACCATTCCAGCCCACCTCGGTGTGGCAGGACTGTCCCCACCTGCCCCTGGCCCCCCGACACCCCCAGCACCCTCCCCGTGTCAGGTAGTTTCGTACTTGCGCTGTAGCAATGAGTCTCCTCCACGTTTGCTCCGCGCACGGGGACCTGCCGGCTGGGTACGGCTGGATCTGGAAAAAAAATGGTTACGCACGGAGACAACAAGCTGCAAGGACTAGCTAGCCCCTTTCAAATTACCTTTCCTCCTTACTTTGCACCCCCTCTTTTCCAAAATACAGAGCTGTATTGTATTAAAGACACGGAGAGGGCGGTGGATCGCCAGGGTTAGAAACCAGTGCCCTGCCTCCTCCTACCAGAACGCGCCCCGTTTTCACCTGCAACTCCAAAATGGGTCCATAACCCCACCGACAGCGAACCACCCGAGATTTGTCAGTTATCTCGATCGTAAAGCATGTCATTTCTGCTCTTGGTATCAAAGCTTTTCCTTTGGCTCTTTATTTCTCCAGTACTTTCCAAAAAAATCACACAGAATCCAGAATTCAGTGATGACATCATCACCACCCTACAAGAAGTTGCACCTTCGGGTTAGAGCCGCGCATCCTACAAGCACTTTCCACATCTAAATGTGAAACCACACCTTTGGCTTCAACACCATCACTTGTTCTCTTTGTTCCCCTCACAACCCATGTGCTGTTTCCAAATTATTTTCATTTTTCCCTGCTGTCCAGATCTGCTGGTTTGTTTTTTTTATGAAATCCTTGAACAGCCAAACTTGTCACCAGATGGAGAATTAATAAGAACTAAATACAGGGCTCTACTAGATGACTCCAAAATAACAACCAAGTTTCATGGCTAGTTATCTAGTTTTCAATTGAGTGAGCGTGATTCAAAACATCGTAAAATTAATACAAGTTATACTCTGGGGAGTCAGGAGGGCAAATTGAAACCATCATTGCCTTCAGCAACGTCTCCTCTGCCATGTTTTGCACGGGTAGAAGTCAGCAGCTTCCCTCCGTTCTTCCAAGCTCTGCTCATCCGTGCGAGACCCTCGCAGTTCCTGCCTGGATTACCGTTTGTCTCACAGGCGCAAGGAACCAAACCCACGGAAATTTGCGATCAACGTTACACCGTCCCAGTCACAAGCATCACTTGGGCCAAGAGACCAAACCAAAGAGGACAACGTCCACCGAGGAAGAGACTTAATGCAAAGAAACATTCCAAGTGGGCGGGAACCAGATGGCAATCGAGCAGACGGCAAATTTTTATTGTCAACGTAGCTAGCGAGGTATGACTACATTTCCTCTATAGAAAAAGCAACCCAAAAGGCAAAACGAGAGAGGCTTTGAGGACAGTTGTGCTCTCGGCATGCAACATCTTCAGAACCTAAAGAACATGCACGACATTTCTCACAGCGATGCTGCTGACCGTAGCAGGAGAACGATGACGACTCTCTCCGAATCGGCAGCCTGATCCTGGAACCGCGCGGCACACGGACTCCGTCTGGATTCAGCACAAGGTTAGTTTAAAAACCCACCTCCATCTGATGGCAAAGCTGTACTGGGACAGGTTTAGTCACCTTCGTCCTCCAGACACCCCCACTGCTCCTTCCCCAACGCTGAACTAGCTGCCAACGTGTCAACACCACAGTCGTTACCAGGCTTTAACTGTACCCTTTTTAATTTTTTTGTTAAAAATGTCATAAAGACACCATGAATACAAGTACTGCAGTTACATCGATACAAAAAAAGCAATACAAATTAAGCAGCTGAATACAAAAATACATTGAAATACATGAACACCACAACGTAACTCATAGCACTAATCAGAATCGTGTATGCGTGAAAAAAATTAAATAAAAACCTTTTTTGTATTAGACAACTTAGGTATTCTCCACTTTTAACAGTAACTTTCTTCTAGTTATGTACTTCACAATTTCTTCTATATACAGCATAGAATAAAATACTTTTAAAAGATATGACATTTTTAATCCTCAATATGCGATATAGGTCTCTTTTACACTAAGAATATTGACTGCATGAATAAAAACTGTCCATGTCTTACATCAACTGATCAGAAAAGGAGGATCAACGTTTTCCTTGGAAATCATTTGCGCAGGATTTCAATCAGTTGGTAGGTTTGGCTTGATGCGGCAGACAATCCTTGTCCAACAGCGTCTCTCACAGTAATGTACATAATATTGCTTGTGTCTATACAATCATACAAACGTGGCAATCATGTCTAAATGTTGGTTAGGAAAGAGACAGCTCACACATATACAGGGCTCCGGGCTTTCCTCATGACTTATTTACAATGAAAGTGCTTTTATCAGCTCTAACACAATACATGGGGGCGTTTCTACAGGTCAATTATTAGTCTCCCTGAAATTGGAAAAGTATTATATAGAAAATACCACAGCTTTGCAAACACTATAGCGTACTGTCGAACTGCATGTGGTTCCGAGATTAGCAGCTGAAAAGTGTCGATAATTATAATTTAAAAATAAATAAAGCAAAGAGGTAAACCAGTTACAAAACCAGCAGAAAACTGCAATATTCACAACGGTAAAAAGACTTAAAACCAATTGCTAACAAAACGGTGAAGCGGTTGGATCGAAAGTCTTGAAAACATCTTTTAAGGATTTATCATCCGACTCCCCGTCGGGATCGCTCTCCTGCGCCTGCGCGGCCTGTCCCGGCTGCCTGACCTGCCTCGGGGCGCTGTACTGCGGTCTGATCAATCCCGACAGCGCTTGGATCGGGAGATTATGCACCGCCGGGGCAGCGCTGGAGTGTTTAGCCTGAGGTTTACTGGTGCTGTTTGCTTTATCTGCAGGAGCTTCCGCTGATCCTTCCGGATTCTTCTCCACGTTCGAGGCAGCCTTCTGCAGCGAAGCGTCTTCCGAGAGACTGGGTTCGTTTTTACCGGAGTTTTTCAAAATACTTTTTTTCTGGTTCTCTCCGTTCTCTCCCGAAGTAGCCGGCGCCGCGTCCGACGACGAGCTGTGATCTCTCGGATCGTACAAACTAATACCGCTCAGGATGGAGCCCGGAGTTCCCAGCCGGACACCGCTCGACGATAACTTGGGCGCGTACGGAGGCAGAGCATCCGGGTCG